CTGTGTTGTCCCAACTGCCTTGACCTATTTCACAGGGAGCGCTGGAGCTAAATGTCCCATCAGAGTTGTACCTTGTTAGGCCCAAAGGGCCAGTCTTCTCCCCACCTGGATCAGTTACCCTATACAGGCCACTGGAGGAAGGTGTGCCCTGGGGCAAGGCTGCTGTGGCAGCAGAGAGATAGATGCAGAATGGATTGGGTACAGAAGGGTGTTCCTAGCAGTTGGGACAAGGGAAATCCCAGCGGCACCTCAGCCGCCTCCTTGGTGATACTTCATTGGACTATTATTTCAATAAAGTGCAAGGACGTGTAAAGTACCTCGTACTAACTCTAACTCACAGACACTGTTTAGTGAATGAGGACAATATTTACTATCTGCATATTGAGTTAGGGCCTTTTGAATAACCCTGACTCCAAATCATCTCTCCTTTCTTGGGAGAGAAAAGGGATAACGCCATGTGAGTTAAAGTCTCAAATTTAGACTTTTGAAGTGTATTTAGATGAGGCTGTATATAAAACTACAGAAATATAAATTCAGAAATTTAAATTCAGGTCCCATTAACAGAAAACATACATCTTTAAAATCAATTCATTAATTATCCCCTGAACAGCACTATTATTACATTGTCTTTTGGTCTTCTTCCCTATAAACATTTAACATGAATAACTTTATCTATGACACTATTATGGAATTTCATCATTTCCTTTTGATATTCAGGAAACTTAAGAAATGGCAACAGCTTATGCCTTTCCCTGCCCTTGAGAGTACTGGTGTCACCTGTCAGGTGGGATGGGAGCCAAGGGGCAGATGGGCGACATCGTTGGGGACCTTGGACTTGTCCCTCAATTCTTTCTCTACTAGGTGCAGGACTAGCTTCTGACCTGACAGGTTATCATGCCCTCACCAGCCCTGAGGGAATGCCAACTAGGTCTGATGCCCAAGTGTCCTATGGCCAGAAATGCATAGAGCATGCTCTATGCAGCTGAAATCTGAGAGGCGTCCAATCTTAAGTGGCCACTTCATGATTTTTCTTGGGGCTAGATAAGGAAGCAGGAGAAAAGACAAAATGGGAGCCCAATTCCTGCTTAGTCTCTGGCAGGTTGTGGGTACCTCTTCCTGCTAGTCCTGGAGCCAGCTAGTCTGGATCAGTGCTGGAACAAGTAGCACATGGACCCCAGCCAAAGACAGGCAGACCCTGGGATAGAATTGACATGCATGGGATAGGACCAGACAGGCAAAAATATGTTTTGTGAGGCTCAGACTTGGTTCTTTTTACAGAAAAAAAGAAGAAAGTTGCTCAGGTGTCACTTGAACTGCATACCCAGGCGAGTAGTTGTGCAGATTTGGGGACTTGGGAGCCTCCTAGCACTCTGCACTCAGGTGTAGTGAGACCAGCAGATCTTTGGTTAGCTTGGCAGAGCCCAACTGGACTCAGAACTCAGAATAGATGCCTCGTTCCAAGTCACATGTCCTCTTTTACCTCCTGGAGGGTTCACCTCCACAGGTGGGGACTTGGCAGCAATCTCCAGGAATGGAAGCTTTGTAGTCTGTCCTAGCTAGGTCACAACCAGTGTGGTCTTGACTGAGTTACCTGGGCAAGTCCAGATCCTGTCCTGGATAATGAATGACCATGTCAAGCCTAGCATAACCCTGCACTCACTGCCTTTAGGAAGTGAAGTTGTTGTTCTAGGAAGCAGCCTCCACACAAAAGCTCTGGACAGTCCTGGCAATAGCACCCCAGATGTGGGAGTTGCCAGTTCTGCAGAGGCCAGACTGGGGGAGCCCGAGTAGCAGTTGCTTCCCACCCAATTAGTAAAACTAAAGAGATCCAACGTCCCCCCTTACCTCCTGGAGCGCTACCTCTCTGGCCATTTCTGCCCCTTGCCTCCATTTCTCCTGCATTCTCCCTACTCTCTTCCCCAATATCCAGAGGTTTGATGAGGCTGTTTAGGTCAACAAACTTTATGGAATGTGCATTATAATAATAATTAGGAAAAACTGAAGTTCTGGAGGTTGCTTAAGGCCATCAACTAGTACTGAGCAGTTAAGGACTCTGGGTCTGAGGGAACTGAAAGCTTGAGTAAATAAATAACAATGTTTAAGGTAAAACTGCTTGAGTTTTAGGGCAAGAGCTATTAATTCTGCACCGGGTGTTTTCTGAGCATATTCTGTGTCCACAACTTGGAGTCTGGAGAGGGAAAGGGAGATCAAAAAGATGGATGATAAGGTCTCTATTCTGAGAAAGACTAGCAATTATTCTCCATCAAAGGAGATGAGACCATTTTATTGATTTTTGTTTTGAAAACTTGGCCATATAATTACAGAAAATTAGTTTAAAAATTCTTTCCTAATTCCATCTCCTAATACAAAGTTTTTATACTTTCTCTTAATTTTTATTAATTTATAATTATTAATATATAGCTTTTATTTTTACACATGCTATATGAATAATTTTGTATATATTTTAAACTTTTTTGGGGGGCAGTGCAAGGTATGGAACCTAAGGCCTTGTGTATTCTGAGCAAGTGCTTTAAATTATACCTCCAGACCTCTTTTAACATATTTTAAAAACACACTTCCCTGACTCCTCAAAGACTTCATGGTTACATTTTCATGCTGCATACTATTCCCTCATATGGCCATACCATATTTAGCCATGTTTCTGTTTCTGGTTGAATCTGTTGCTTTTTTTTTTTTTTTTTTTTTTTTGGTCATTATAAATAATGCAGCTATAAATATCTGCGTACATATAGTTTTTTTTTTCTTCTTTTAAATTATGTCCTTGGAATCAGTGCCCAGACAAGCAATGATTGGGTCAAAGGATTGGCTATTTTATAGCTCTAGCTTTGTAGTCAGATTATAACAGAACATTTAACAACTAGGCATTGAGGACTCAATCCTCACAGACATTTTTCTAACGTACTAGTGCTCTATAACCACATATAATATTGTATGAAATAAACACTATAGACAATATTGATCAGGTTCATGCTAGCAGGACACCTGGGGTGAATAACAGATAGTCCCTGCCCTTGGGGTTTTTTCCAACTAGGACACAAACCAATCAAGACTACTTTGGTCATTCCTCTTAAATCTCCAGGTTCTTAAAAACACAAATGAGTTTTCTCATCAACAGAATCATAATCTAAGGGGATGTATTTTTGGTGTTCATAAAAACAGATGACTGGTTAAAACTGTTCTTTTTTCTGATTCAAGAAAGAATATCAAGGGCTGGGGATGTGGCTCAAGCGGTAGCGCGCTCGCCTGTCATGCGTGCGGCCCGGGTTCGATCCTCAGCACCACATACAAAGATGTTGTGTCCACCGAGAACTAAAAAAATAAATAAATATTAAAAAAAAAAAAAAGAATATCAAAGGGCTGGAGATGTAACTCAGTGGTGATAGTGTGCTTGCCTAGTATGTGTGTGGCCCTGGGTTCAATCCCCAGCACCAAGATAAATAAATACAAATCAATCACCAATCAATCAATCATTCAGAATGTAAAGAGTTGAGAGGAATATTTATATATCTATTTAGATATGTAAATCTGTTTTGATTTCTAAAAGTGAGTAATTCATTCCCAAACACAAGCATTTGTGTTGTAACACAACCAGATAAGAAGATCCCTTTATGGTTAAGTCTCCTCAAAAGGAAGGCCAGGACCCTAAGGGGACCACACTTAACAAACTCAACACAAATGTATGCAGGTGACAGAATGAATGGGTGCCAGGAAAATGGGCCCCAGAAGGGGTCAGTGGTCCTAAAGAGGGTCAATGTATTACATCTATCAAGTACTATGTGCCAGGTACTATTCAAGGCACTGGGATATAGCAGTGATCAACATATACACAAATCCCTGCCCTCATAGAAGTAAGGCTTAGGGGTGTGGGTGGAACAAATAAAAAAGTAAAACACACCAGCCTGGGACAATACAAAGGAAATGTAACAGGGCATTCTAAGCAGACATTTTAAATGGTGATCAGAGATGGCCTCAGATGACATTTGAACAAAGCCTGGGGATGCTGGGAGGAGAATGTTTCATACCCACACCCTGAGGCAAGGCCCTGAGGGGAAGGCAGGCCAGTGTAGCCATCCAGGGGAGAACAGTAGGAGATGAGGTCAGAGGGAGTTGGGGCCAATCTGGAGGCGGTCCTATAGGCATTTTACTCAGAGTGACCTGGGGAGGTAGTGGACAGCGTGAGACATAGTCTGATTTGTCCAGCGGGAGGTAATTGTGAATCTGGGTTAGGAAGCTCCCAGCAGGCCGACCCAGGCCTTGGTACTCAGTTCCCTTCTGGGCACTTGGCTGGCCCAGACTTAGGTCTGAACTGTTGGGAAGGTGGGAGCCTATACCGAACTCCAGCCAGGAGAAAGGCCTGGAAACTCAATTATAACCCCATGTGATGGTCTCATTAGCATTAGAAAAGTTCCACACTGGCGTTCTTTAGCACCAGAGTCCGGGCAGTGCGGGGTCCTGGCAGTGGTCCACATCCATTCCGGACCAGCTGTGTATCCTCTGGCGAATGTTCTAACCTGAAGCAGACTCAGTTACTTCATCTGTAAAATGGAATTAAACGTCCTAGCTGCCTCATTGCATCAAATGAGATCATTCGAAAGCACCTTTTGAACATCTTTATCGTTTCCAAAAGGCCAACGTGAAAATGGAGGTGACTTTAGAGGACTGGCTTTACACTGCCCTTCTCAATTCACTTTGCAAAGCGGGTGGGCTGTCAGTACCCGCCTGCTTCTCACCTGGCGCTCGCCGCAGGGCGGGGAGCGGCGGTGCAGCCGAGGGTGGGGCGAAAGGAGGTGGTGCGGCGCTCTGAGGCGGGGCAGTTGAGAGCCGCGGCGCCCCCACCTGCCTCCGGCTTTGGCGGCGCGGCTCCAGGACTCGCTCTTCGGCAGCAAGCCGGGCGGGGAGCGGCCACGGGCCCGGCGGGAGGACGGGCGAGGGGCGGCGGCGTCGCGGCTGGGCGGAGCCGCCCCCGCCCTCGCTCCCGCCCTGTTCAGCCCGCCCGGCTCCCCGGCCCTCGCCGCGCGCTTTCTCCGACAGCTGCTGCGGGAGTCGCGTCCTGACCGTCTGTCCCCTGGGGTCATCGCCCGCCGCTGTCGCGCCATGACCACCCAGCAGATAGTCCTCCAGGGATCCGGACCATGGGGCTTTCGCCTTGTGGGCGGCAAGGACTTTGAGCAGCCTCTCGCCATTTCCAGGGTAAGGGTAACTTGGGACGCTCATGGGAGCGGGGCGCGCTGCGGAGGGGACCTGCGGAGGCTGGGGCCCCGCGGGCACTGTGGAGGACCGCGCTGGGTGCGTCCAGGCGCGCGGTGCGCTGAGAGCTCTTGCTGCGCCCGCCGCCCCTTCGCCGTCCGCGAGCGCTGGAGCCCAGCGCAGTTTTCTTCCTTCGCCCCGGAAGCGCGGCGCGGCGTGTGGACGCGCTTTGTCCACCCGCTTGGGGCTGAGGGTCTCCGCAGATCCCGTGTCGGGGGCGAGAGCTCTTTCCCGTGTTTCACGGTCGCAGAGTGGAGGAAAGCAGATTGGAAGCTACAGGAAAGTCCTGGAAAGTGAGGTGGAATGGAGGAAAGCCCACTGGAGGACGAGTGGGATTAATTTAAAAAGCAGCAATCGAAACTTTTCACTCTTTGGACTTGATCCGTGGCCGGGTCTCACCTCCCTAATGCCTTTTAGGGGAAAGGCGGGATTTTGGAAATAAACCCAAATAAACACTGTTTATTGTTCTTCCCTCCCATTTTTCTGCTTGGCATTCCCAGATTATCCAGGTGGTGAGTGGGTACTGGGGCAGGGTCCTCACTTGGTGGGTGGTGGTGGTGGTGCTTGATAATTTAAGAGTAGCCGCATCCCTGGAAGGGTCCACGTTCCAGACTACCAGATCCATGGCCCTTAAAGGAAGTGGAACCCCCAGGGAGATCCAGAGTCAATGTTTGGACACTCAGGCTTTGGACATGTAATCTGGGCCAAACACAAGGTTGAAGTCCTACTGAGAGTCGCCACATTCAGTCCAGGCAGCCAGGCGGCGGTGGGGGTGGGCTCAAAAAATTCTGTTTGTTTCTTTTGGTTCTGGGCTCAAAAAATTCTGTTTGTTTCTTTTGGTTCTGGGGATTGAATTCTGGTGCTTTATCACTGAGCTATACCCCCAATCCATTTTTTTTTTTTGAATTTTGATACAGAGCCTTGCTAAACTGCCCAGGCTGACATGGAATTTGTGATCCTCTTGCCTCAGCCTCCCAAGTAGTTGGGATTACAGGTGTGCCTTCTGAGCCTGACTAATAACTATCTCCTGGTTGAGAGAAAAAAAGAGCAGAAAAGCACTCCCTGTGGCCATGCTCCGCCTTGAGGCAGCACATTGAGTTCCTGGCTATCTAGTTGCTGAAACTGACCTTAAACTTGTCTCCCCAGTCTCCTAAATATCCCTCCTTTTTCTTTTGAAGGTGGAGGAGGGTGAAGTGGAAATAAAAGATCCTTGTGGGTCGGGTCTTTTTTTGACTTAAGACCCTGCCTCCAGTAACTGAAGACATTTGGTGGGGAGTGCATGCAGGAGGAGAACTGGGGCCACCTCTTGGCTTCTCTGCCAGCCTCAAGCCTACCCACACTTCCTTCTAGGTGGGCCTGACCCAGTGAAGAGATTTCTCATCATCCTACTCCAAAAGGAGCAAGCAGCCAGTTTCAAGGCTGTACTTTCCAACTGCCTACCTGGTCCCACAGAGATCTCTTTGATATTTTCAGAGGCACACACTGTCTTCCCAGTCTCCAGCTGCATTCTTCAAGCACAGGAATTGTGCCCCAGGCCTGGCATAGAACTGATGTGCTCCATATAGCCTCACAGGCTTATTAATAAATGCCTGTCCCAGGAGGGCTTTGCCTCTGCACATTTAGACTCACTTACCTCATAGTCCATTTCTCCCTGCTCTTTGTATCTATAATTAACCTGTCAGCCTTCCCCACTTTTGAGATTTATATATGACATGATTTTTTTTTTTAAAGTAGTGGAGCATATATTGGCAATCTGTTAAAAGGGTTGGGAGGGTCACAAATTTGAAACCAGCCCAGGCAACTTAGACCCTGTCTCAAAACAAAAAAGGGCAGGGTGTAGCTCAGTGGTAGGACACTTGCTTAGCTTGCTCAAGGCCTTGGATTCAATCCTTAGCCCTGAGGGTATGGGGGAGGAGGGGAAACCTTAATAAAAATGTATGTGGCACTGTGTAGGAATGATGGTATAGGGTGGAAAACATCACACTAAATTTATTGGTTTGTACCTTTATACGTTAAATATTTATTTATGGTATGAGCACACACCATATGTTAGAAACTCTGCAAACTCATCAGAAATGAGAGGACACAGCTGTATTCTCAAGGTGTTCATGGTCTGGTGAGGGAAACTAATCTTGATAATGTCTCTCACTGGGGCTTTAATTGAAAAGTGAAAGTAACTCAGAAGGTGACATTCTTATCAGTTATTTACTCTTCTCTTCATCTTATTTCCACATGGAAAAAATGTGAGTCTCTTCTTAGGATGGGAAAGTCATTGTCATAAAGGGGCTATAGGGTGGTTATCTAAGTTCTTGTGCTGGTCTGGGGTCTGGTTCTTAGTGAGCTGTACCCAGGGTGAGCCTTCTATCCAAGGCTACCTTCCCTGCATTGGGGATAGGACCAGTGCTTGGCTTCTAGGAGTTAAGGTATGCCAGAGTGCTTAGTAAACATGAGTAATGGTGAGAGGTGTGAGTGTTGACAAAGAGCTCTACAAATCTTCTGGTTGGTCGCTGTGCTACTTTTATTATTCTGGGCAGATATAGTTTGCTAGTATGGTTTTATATATGTAGACGTGGAGTCTCCACACCAAAGCAAACTATAAAATGAGGCTGGGACAGGAGTACTTTTTATTTAAATAACTTTATTTACTTTCTTTTGAATGCATTATTCTGCTATTAGTTTCGTCTTTGTTAAACTGCTAAAGCTTCTGAATATAGGTCTGTGATCCTATACATTTAAAATATTTTCTTTTTCTAATTTATTTTTTAATTGTGAAATAGAAAATGATGAAATGTAAATGCATCACAAATGATTATAAAGTGAACACCTGTCCTCACCCAGGTCAAGAAATAGAACATTGGTAACACCCAGAGGCTCAGTAATATAGCCCTATCCTGATTTATGAAAATCATTCCCTTTCTGCATTTCTTCATAGTTTTACCACCTAAATAGAACTCCTGAATTTATTTTGCCTATTCTTAACAGACTTAATAAAGAACACGTGTGTGTGTGTGTGTGTGTGTGTGTGTGTGTATGGCTTCTTTTTGCATCTTAGTGTTTTCATCTATATTGTGAGAAACTTAAAATCACAATATAGATTTCCAGCTTTAAATGGACACGAACTGGTTTCTTTTAACTGGTGTCTCATTTATGGCTCCTGCCTTGGACTCCCTATTGATCCAGCCATTTATTTGACACTGTTCCCTAAAATTATTTTTTTTGGGCGGGGGTCAGTTCCTGCTCTAACCCTACAGTTGTCCATCTCCTTAATTCCCCGCCTCCATGTAATTTCTTATTTTCTTTAGTTGCTTTCAAGGGAAATCTTCAGAGAATCCACACCCAGGTCCAAATTGCTTCTCAGTTTATGTTGACTGTTTTTCTCTCCTAGCAACTGACAAAAGGCAGGAAGAGGTGGGGCCAGAAATAAGGGGATGCTCTTAGTTGGAGGACTGGGCTCTTGAGTCTTGGGGAACCCTTTGCTAAGAGCCTGTGTTTTCATGGCAAGTGCTTGTGCTCTTTGAGGATCCCAAGGGATGTTTAAGAATGGCTAGCTGTAGTCAGAAGGTCTTTTCTAATTTTTTAAGAGTGTTATTTCCAGATTCAAGTAGATTTTACGTCATGTCCTAAAGGTTGAAAGAACAGGGATTATGTGTCAGGTTATGAAAAGCAAGAAGTGTCCACACACAAAAGAAAGCTCACTATGTGTTAATGGCCCCTGTGCTGCACTCTCTCATTCTGTGAAATTGATCACTTGGGGGATATTAGATGATGCAGCTGATCACAGCTCACCTGAGGAGTGAGAAGGAAGAGGATGAATCTAAGAGGTTGGCACAGAAGTGAATGCTTGAGCCCACTGGCATGGAATTTAGCAAGCCATGTTAGAACCCGTTGACCAGATAGCCTCTGCTCCCCAGCTTCCAGAACTCCAACCTTTCTGGTTCATTTTTGAGGAGAAGAGAGGGAAGAATGCCTTTTGAGTATTGTAGCTTGGCAGATGACTGAGAGGAGAGCATCATCCAACCATGGGCTCATATTTTCCTGGGCTAGGGAAATTACGGGTTAGGTAATTTGTTTGAATTTGCATAATTTTCATCCACTGAACTACTTTTTAACTTCCTTGTTAAAAAAAAAAAAAGCATAGTGAATAATTAAAAATGAACAAAAAAGGCCATGTCAGAAAAGTAATTTTTTTTTTTTTTGCAGTACCCAGGGCCTCATGCATGCTAGTGCTCTGCTGCTGAGCTCTATCCTCAGCCCTTTTATTTTTATTTTTGAGACTATCTATAAGTTATATAGTTTGGCTTCAAACTTGCAATCTTCCTGCGTCCGCCTCCTGAGTGGCTGGGATTTTACGCATGCACCACCTTGCCCCTTTCAGAAAAATTAACTTTTAAAGGATGATTTGACTTCTAGTAGGTCTTGGGGAAAAGCCTAGAGAAAGCTACCAGGATGGTGTTCTGGTAACACATCCAAGACAGGAATATAAGCTAAGTTCTGGTCCTGGGTATCTCATTTGATGAAGGATCAAGTCTTGTGCCTTCTCTGGGTGTAATTCCCCATAAAGATAAAACAAAATGAGAAGCAAGCAAACTCAGTGGTTTTGTACCCTTCAAATATGAGAGCCCACTCTTTAAAAAATTGTTAGAAGTATCCCCACCTCTCATAATATTAGTTGTACCTTTATCCATGAGTTGACTGAGAGAAATGTATGAATTCAGGAACATTTTCAGATGAACTTGTGTTCTGTCCATCACCAGAGAATCCACTGACACTGAAAAGACCTGTGTGAAAAATATTTGATCCACTTCCAGAAATTATGGTTAAAACATGTATGGGAATTTTTATATGCCAAACACTATTCTAAGAGCTTAATATATTTTTTCAGTGATTGGTACCATTAAGACAGATCAGGAAACAGGCATGGAAACATTAAGCACTTGGCCTGT